TTGAAAATATTCACTTGGATGGCAGAACTGTAAGAACTTATCTCCGGCTGAATCAATCAAGATTAGCAAAAATGCAGGCAAGTGAGACAAGGTTGCAATAAGAAGAAAGTGATGTTGCTGAGAGTTTGTTGTTATGAAAAATAAATGGAATCAAGTAATTAATATTAATCGCTCAAAATGTTGATGGTTTTCACAGCATTTTGGAAGAATTAGGCTAAGCTACATGATTTAAAATTTTATTTTGTTTTTACGAATATGTGAGTTTATTGAAAACTTGTAGTGTAGCATTTTGCACTATGCGGTCATCATCAGGGATTTATTCAGTTATTACTGCAGGCAACACATCAAAAGAGATAATAGCAGAATTATCGGAGCTGTTAAGCTAACTCGTGATTATTCAGTAACTCTAAATTTAATCGGCTTGAATTCGACGGGATAAAATTATAAATTTCAGAGACTTATTCAAAATGAACAAAGTGAAAAAATATATAATTTTTACTTGTAGCGTAATTGATTAGGGTCATAATTCTTCTAGGCTTTTCATTAACTTTCAAAAAATCACAATTTGAAGCACAAAACTACCTGTGACCAGATCTGAATCTTGCGCTGTTATAAGCAAGATTTCCGTTTTCCAGATAAATTTGAAGATTTTCTTTTGGAACAAAATGTGGTGTTTAAAATTAAATTTTAAATTTTAACTGCTTTATCCTCTCACAGTACATTAATTTGTGGAAGAGGAGGTTTATACTAAAAATTGCTTCGAGCGATCCGAACAAGTTTTTCAACCGCACTGAAAATCGTCAAAATCCTCCTCACAGTTACTACTAATTCTGGTGGGAATAATTCAGAAGAATTATATGAGCATCTGTAGCACAATCCTGATTAAACTATAAATATCAATATTGATAATAGCAACATCTTGTACTGAGAGATAAATATACCTGATTGTAGAGTAAGTACATAACCACTTCAACACAGCATGTTTGTTTGCTACTTTAACATGCAAAGTTGCTTTAATGGCAAACATGGCTAGAAAATAGAAAAGCGACACGCTTTCCCGGTGAAACTCAGTTTGTAACTATTGAGTTTTCTACAGTTATGTATGTAGCAACGTCGTGAAAGTTCAGCTTTTGATTGTTGATTTGCCGAATTGTTTCACTCCGTAAACATATTTTCAATCTGATATGCGTCAGAACAGTGAAAACTTATTATAAGTTAATACATGCAATATTTCGAAAAGTGGCTTCAATTTAATTAGCTTTGAGTCGGAACAGAAGTAATATCAGCATCAACGCATGGGGATAAAATTGCAATTTTGAAATTAAAAACTGAATTTTCTAGACTGGTTCAAGCTGAGGAAAATAATGTGAAACTGAGTAAATGGGGTAGAAAAGAAGTCATGGCCTCTATTTGAAGCAACAGAAATATTTAATTGTAACCAGTAAAACCAGATTTCCGCCTTTAATTGGAATTGAACGAGTAGAGAATATGCAAGCAATGATTTATTCCACCGATCCGTTTTAATAAATGAAACCGAAACTTTCAATTAAAAGCTGACCTCAATCTGCAGCTCTCTTGAATTCGTATGTCATGCAAAAGCCAATTATTATCAATTCATTTAATAAGCAGGTAGATATTTGAAATTTTTCCTTGGCCTGGCTAAAGTGTCTATTTCGGCCAAAAAGCTGGAGTTTTTACTCGCTTTCTGGTCGGTTCTCATAAAATAAGCCCATTCTTCACGGTTTTCCATTCCCTTTGTGGTGGTTACCTTTCGCTATCAATCGGTAACGCAATTTGTTGCCTTCAAAAGCAAATATACGGACCACTTACATCGCTAACGCCCTTGTACGCTTACCCCATTTCTTAAATATTTCGGTCACGTTCCGGTCGAAACCCATTCTGAATTCAGATCTTTTTCGACTGCAAAAATATATTCTAGAATAACTTGCGGTATGGTATTTTTGTTTCACCTGGGCGTTTATATATTTCTAGAGCAAAGAATCACAATGGAGGTTGTTACAGATGATGTAGTCATTTTTTTAAACTTTTTCAAGTATCTTAATAAGCGATAAAGAACACAAATTTTAATGGGGAAGATTCTCTGACTGAAGTCCACATGAAACCAGCTTAAGAGATTTGATTCGTGAAGCAAAAACTATGTACCTAATTTAAAACAAAAAAACAAGCTCTAAATAGCTTCAACTTAACTCGAATCAACTGATTAAAAATTGCTTCAATTTATCACACCATAAGACAATCTTTGTTTGGCTCAATAACAATAACTTACGTATATTGAAGCTTTAATAATAAAAATGTAATCCTCTAAATGGCTGTCAATATATGGATGAACCGATTATTATGTCTCTCTAGAAACCGTAAACTTTATTGGTGGCTCTCCTAATAGCACTATTTCCATTTTGGAAGATCCATGGCTTTATTAATGGATATCCATGAAATGTAGCGTTAGCAAAAAATCAACTAAAACTCCGTTACCAGCTGGAATTGATTTCTTCTCTAACCATTATTCGAAGGATTTGGAGTTTTTCTATCAAAGAGCTGTGATTTAAGGTTCCAGAGAAAGCTTTTTAGACAATTCAGGAAATGTTCTCAAACGATTGTATTTTACTGTTGTAATAAAGAGCAATTATTCAAGATTAAAGAGAGCAGTGCCATCATCAGACTATTACTCAAACATAATCCCGTCAAGTCTTATTAGAAGGCAAGTGCTGAAGGAAAATATTTGAATAAACCTTTCGGAATGTTGGCAACATAATTGAAATCCGAGCAATTTCATCTGCTCCTGTGCCCTGATACTAATTTCGAGACGATAAATTTATGATGGAATTTTGTCTTTGTCTATCATCTTTTTACGACTCAGTTATTAAGAAGTTTCTTGTCTGAAATTATTGTTAAGCATGCCTCGAAAACGACAATTACGCATTTGATTTGAAATTCTTCATGTGTTAGTCTAGTTACTTTAATTTCGAATGTGCTGCTAAAATAAAAATGATAATGTACAACAAAAGCATGCTATTTGCTCATGGGCATATTTGGCTGTATTTCGAGACTAAAAAACATATAAATGTTTGATAAGTAATTAGAGATACATTAGTAAAATATATTAGTTTGGTGCAAAATTTGAGCATACAAATAGATAGATTTTCAGGTAACTTGCGAGGTAATTAACAAAACACCAAAATATCTAGTTTTTGCATCAATCTTAGCATATACATATAATTCATTTTTCTTCGTCTTTCTTTCTTTTGTATTTCTTGCCACCTTTCAATTGTTACCTACTTGCTCTTCCGTGTGGTAACTATTGCTTTGATTAGCAATTTCTCTCTCTTCTTCTTGGTCCATTTTCTTTTAATATTTCTTGCCATCATTGTGTTGTTCGCTTTTCTTGTCTGAAAGTATTATTTCTTCTGGGTTGTAAATATTTATTTCTTCAACAATAGTCACAATGCGGAAGGAAGGAAGAACTCTTCTAGAGAAGGAAAGGGAACGGAGCAAATGGTGCAGCAAGACACACAAACGAAAAATGAACAAAAAAGAGGTTAGAAAATATGCATTGAGGAAGCACCAGATCAGTCGAGATAGCACAGAAAAGGGGATTAGAAGCAGAAACACAAAGAAGCGAACCAAAGAAAAAAGCAAATGATCAGAAAAACCATACAGATTTGTTGCACGCATTGTTGAAAACATTTGAACGAAGAATAATTTTTCAACATGCTCATCAGAAATATTACAGTAAAAGAGTCTAAATGAGAAAGCAGCACAGAAAAGGGGACGCTTAAAAACATTTTCTGGTAGAACCGTATGAAAAATATTGAAAAAAGAACCACAAAGCTTCACATTTGCTTTAATAATTACGAAACATTTGTATTTATTATTTGTTTTACAGGCAACGGTCGTGACCATTTGAGTTTCTATAGAACTTACTAAATCACCGAAATGTAATAGGAAGAAAATAACTTAAGCCAAAGATAATTTACAAATAAGAACCAAATTTGACCTCAAATTGATGTTTAAAAATTCCCACTGCTAGGAATTTTTTTTTCATCAATGGTTTTTTGGCTCATTTAATTATTTTTCGACGCAGTAGTTTGTCTGTTTACTAAGTTTTGGTTTTGCTTGCAATCCTGTTTTCTATCCTTTGACAACTCGATTAAAACATTGCTCATGAGACAATTTTCTATTTATTCTTTGGTCTATATTTCCTTTCTGTCTCCTGGTATCATTTTGGTTTTTGCTTTCCTCTTTAAGGAACATGCGTCCTGTTGTAATTATTGTTTTAGTTATAAAATTATCAATCTACTTCTTGGCATAATTTTCGTTTAAATTTACAGCTTTTTTCATGGTGTTCACTTTAGTCTTTCTTCTTTTCGCTTCCAGACGCAGAAAGCAAACATCAAAAAAATCAACGAGAAACATTAATAGAAGGTCCAAAACACGAAGAAGAAAAATGTACCTTATGCAAAATTTTAATCGGTAGCGGAGAAAACAGTATTATAATCCGAAGCACAACGAAGGGAAGAAAAATAGAACTGCGTAAACGAAACATGAAAAGTGCAGGAATTGTTTCCAAAAACCATTCAGATTTGGTAAATGGAACGTTGAAAAAAGAAGACTTCTTAGAAATGCAATTACAAAACATAATTTTTTTGGACATAATTGGACCAGAGATGTCTCGCAGAAGAAACGCTCAAACAAAATGACACATAAAAATTTAAACACACATAAAAAACCTAAACCAAACTTACCATTATTCAGTGATACTTCTAATTTTCAGCAAGCGTTTGTGCCAAGCACAGCAAATATATTCCAATCGTGAAATTAATATGCAACATAGATTTTAAAATGCGTTCCGAAGAAAAAGTACAGCAAAATGAGAACGACCTGGAAATCACACGTGTTCGAAGCAAAGAAGGGACTAAAATAAAACATAAAAAGTTTGAAGGAGTAAGAAGCACAGACAAGATGCCTGAAAAATACAATTCTTCTAATCTTGTTTACATGTATTGTTGTTGGTCTTTAACAAAAATTGAACGATTACTATGGAATAAGTTGTCACTGTTGATGCTATCGATCCCAATATTCCAAAATTCACCTGAAAAAATCCTCCAGCATGCACGCTGACTTTGTGGGATTTACTCTGTTCTAGAAGCAATCGCAATTGCTTTTCGACGTGTATTTTCGTTTCCGAACTCATATTTGAAGGCACACTGTTCAATAGTTGATAGCAAATTTTTGTAGTTCTAGTTCCTTCTTCAGCTAGTTGTTCTCCTGCCCAAGCGGCAATTGCACCTTGACCCTAAAATTATAAATAATTTTGTGACTATGCAATTTTACAATATAAGTGGAAAAATCAACCAGACTTTATTTTAAATACCACGCTTGCTGTAATTCACAATATTTCTTCATTGACGTGAATAGAATTTAGAATTGCTTGAAGTTTTACCATGCTCATCAGCATCATAGGAATAATATTTCAGTTGAAGTCATTTATTTATATTAAATAGGTCGCAACAGCAAAGCAACTTTCCATATAATCGTGAATGTAGCAAATAAACCAGTGTTTCTTCTTTGTTGTTGCCTAATATTTTAACGATTTTTTTTTAGTTTTAATCTGCTCTTTGCTTTTGAAATGTATATTCCCACTTTAAAATGAACTAAATAGTTAAATAATGTAATCAACTTACAAACACAATTAAACCAGCAACTCCGAATATGTAAACGTGTGTATGTATTACTTCCGTACTGAGTTTGGTCCTTAGTAAAATAATCATGCCGAAATCCCATAAAATAAGCACATTTAAGGCCAACAGCACGAATGCCATCAACGGCGTGAATGCATTATTGAAGTCATCCAGAAGGTTACATATATTATTATGGTGTTTCGTAATGAATCTCATATCGTTTATAATAACGCTATTTATAATTTTTCCAGTGAAATAAAAATTGGCCAATATTCTGTCAGTTAGGAATGAGTTTGCATTTTCAAATATTTCTTTGATATAATGAATAATGCACGATAAAAGACCGATGGTTAAATTAAAGCACCAGTATTCCGTACTCAGTGCGATTGGATACTTAACTTTGCCCGCTTCGTATTGCAAAACTATAGCAGCAATGTTGAAAGGAATGAAGATAATTACCAGTACATAAAGAATCGATAGCCATCTGGAAAATTTTGTGCTGGATTTTGCATTTCTTAGTTTGTTTCTCAGGATGAACGTCAAATCGAACATATCAACATTCCTTTGAACAGTCGCAATGCAAATAAAATTAGTCATTGCTATTAAGATAAAACCAAAATAATCCAAAAATTTCATAGGCGGCTCCGTGATTTTCACAGTTGAGTAATAAGTTTTGTTTTTGTCAATCGACGGGTAAATAAGTGCAATTAGATGAAACATTAGGTTGCACAGTTGAACCAGCCATTTACACTTTTTATGCCGAAGCAGTTTTACTATCCAAACTACAAATTTCAGTGGCGTTGGATCAGATTTGTTGGACGAATACTCAAAATTAATATCCATTGAAAACTAAGGGCTAATAACTCTGATCTAATGTAACTTTCCAAAAGCGATGGACTTTCAATGCGTTTCTTTATGTGTCGATTACAAATGCCATATTTAATATTACGTGTAATATATCAAGGGAGTTGTCTAATTTAAATCAGAATGCTAACCAGTATTTCATCTAAACTGCATAATTATCATTAACTGATCGGTTCAATATAGACCGGGCTCTGATGGTGGGCGCACGCGGTTATTCTTTATTGAATTGGCAAATTAAAAGCACATTTGCTTTTAAAGCATCGAAGATAAACATTTAAAGAATCTAAATTTTTCCAGACTTCAGTCTTCCATTACACTTAAAGTGTACGATCGATATTCCATCATCTGAATGGACAAACATAGTAGATGAGACACTACCATTAAATATTTTCAGAACTCAATCAAAAACATTAGCAAAAGAGCAAGAGAAACGTAAAAGACTTCTTCTTCTTTGTCAACCATTGTCCATCCACTCCTGGATGTAAGTTTCTGTTGTGTGATAATATAGATATCGGACGGTAGCTTTCAACATTTGTTTTGTCTCGTTTTTTGAATATTGGGAGTTATGCCAATCTTGTGGAATCTTTTCTCCGTTTATTATTTTATTAAATGGAATCTTCAGTATTTGTTAAATTTTTCAGCATCTCTGCAGTATTCCTGTTCTCTCCTGCATATTTATTGTTTTTCATCTGACTGAATGTCATTCTTATTTCAGAGTTATTTATTTCTGGCATTTCCTCTGCGTCGATGTTAAGTATAGTTCTTTCAGCTCTTCGTTGTTGTATGCTGGTCGAGTAGAGCTTGC